ATAAGAGCACTTGGCACTGGCTTTGAGGAAAAAGAGTGGTTTGTAAAATGGTGCTGTACTGATTCATTTGTATGTAAACTATCCTTTGACATGATCAATTTGTAAAAAAGAGGTCAGTGGTCCATCCATACCCTACATAATTAGATGAATATGTGGACTATAGGTCCTGTTGGGAGGATAACCACCGGGGTGCGGTTAGGGAGCAGGGGTAACTCATCGCACCCTTTGAGCTGAGAAAACCTGTCACTGAGGAAGCTTATACCTACGTCTGTCTAAGCTGCACTGGTGGTCACCATCTTCAGCGTGTAATGGACGTATGTCGAAGTAAAAGAGGTCTTCTGTGCCAAAATCCTATTCTTGACTGTCCTTGACAGGATGCCCACTTTGCTCTGGGTGACTTCAATGCGGTACCCAGTTCACCATCAGCCTTTAACAGTTTTCCAGGGATGCCGCAAATGCCCTTTGCTTTGCCACGTCTACAGCTTGGAAAACACCTCCCTAACTTTTTTAGGGTAGGAGATTCCTCACGGATGGGCAGATCTGGCACCAGAATCACGACAGCATTCGTGGCTGGCTATGAAATGACTGTCGGTCACCATGACTTAGCTGATACGAGTAGTACGAGTAGTGAGAATAGCTTATTTCTTCAATTGAGGATTTCTGGCTTTCGGTACCTGAGCCAGGTAGATCGACCACATCCTAATTAGCACTCATTGGAAGATCCTCCAGAATTGCAGTGTCTATTGGAATTCTAAGTTATGTAATACCAGCCATAGAACCTCAGGTTGTTTCACTTGTGACATAATGAGGGAGAAGCGTGTTTGGAGATTTTCCAGGGCTATCTTAATAACCTAAAGGATCCTATAGCACTGCGAGACATCTTCAAACGTGTGAAATGCTTGAAGCAGTTGTTCAAGAGTCCATTGGCGACCGCCCAAAGACAAGGCAGAACACCGTCTCACATGAGAAATAAGAATCCATGGAGCATGCTGATTGGCTCGACTGGATGGTGACTGGGACTTGCATCAATCCCTGGCATGTAAAACTCAGACACTGTTGAGAAGGGACAAGGCCCAGCATATCATGACTCATGCTGAGGACGTCGAAAACCATTTCTCAGTAAACCAACAGTTAGCATGGGTATGAGTGGCTGTGACCCTTGTCCCAGATCTGTCCATCAGTGAGGAAACCCCTACTCTGAGAGGAGTAAGAGGCAAAACAGCGAGCATTTACTGTTAAAGGTTGATGGTGAACCTTTCCTGACTGCCATCTGGTAGTTCGGTACCATTCAGTGGACTTCCTGAGGAGCATGGGACAGCTGGGGCTGCAACAATTACCGAGGCATGAAATTGCTCAGCATACCAGGCAAGGTACTCACTCACTTTTTTAAGACGTATTAGAAACCACGTCTTAATTCACTAGTGTGTGTGTGTGTGTGTGTGTGTGTGTGTGTGTGTGTGTGTGTGTGTGTGTGTGTGTGTGTGTGTGTGTGTGTGTGTGTGTGTGTGTGTGTGTGTGTGTGCGTGTGTGTGTGTGTGTGTGTGATTAGACTTGCCAATCCCCTTTGGAATATATGTAAATTTCTCCTCCCTTTTAAGTGACAATGTCTAGACAAATAAGTCTCCCCAGATTCCCGCAGCACGCAAAGATGATGGCGGCACACACTTTGGGAATCACTGCACGAGAGGGAGGAGCAATCTGAAATCACTGCTTTCATGACCTCTTTCCTTGCAGTTCGAGTCAATGTGAATTTGGTTGTGGGTTGCCTACAGCCAACACTGACAAGGACACCCCTGGGGAAAAAAAAAACAAATTCAGCATGGACTGTCAGTATACACAAATGAAACAAACCGAAATAAACCGTGGCATAAAAACCCCATAAGAACCCACCACCAAAAAAAAAAAAAAAGAATCCGCATTCGAGTTAGAAAAACGCCCTCCGCCTCCACAACAACACCCTTACGCGAACGCCCCGGACGGCCCGAGGGGAGGCGTGCGAAAATGTCGTGAGACGAAACCACCAGCAAAGAAATATTACATTCTGAGACACACAAAAATCTTCCTATGAGAACAAGAATAATAGATATAATCTAAAAACAACGAAGACCCACAAAAGAAAATCCAGGGAGTATAGACTATACTATAGAGTCTAAAACCCTATAAAAGAAGAAGAAGAAGAAAAATGTCGTGCCCGGAGTGGTAAAGACCTATCTTATTTCGGCTCGAATTCCGCCTTGGAACGCCTAGTCGGGTGTCCTCTCAGTCCCAGGCAGAGCAGGAGAGTCCGAGGAGGCAAGATTCGTCTCGAAAGATGGATGACAAGCAGGAGGAATATGTCCTGAGGCGCAGAGGGCAAGGCAAGAGCGGCGACAAAGGCTCGGCGAGTTTGACAGGTATTTCGGTCTCGGTTTTTTGTGTGTGTGTGTCTCTGGTGATACTCGTTGCCCTGGGGATAAGGGAATTTGAGTAATATGCATGTTATCTAAATGGATCGTATTGTGAGAAAGAAAGAGTATAATGTCCGGGTTTGTCAGCAAGTGGCATTTAATGTATGTCCATCTGTTAGGGAAATAAAGAAACGATTTTCTCTCTGTCTCTCTGTCTCTCTGTCTCTCTCTCTCTCTCTCTCTCTCTCTCTCTCTCTCTCTCTCTCTCTCTCTCTCTCTCTCTCTCTCTCTCTCTCTCTCTCTCTCTCTCTCTCTCACAGACTGATACTTTGCTTTATAAATTGAAAGCAGGTTTTATTTAATCCTGTTGGACTCTTAATGCTTAAAGGGCATAAGGTTTTCATTTTAATAAAATCTGTTCTTTTTATCATTTGACAGTTTTGACAGAAATCCTGGATAGCATCATGGTAGATGATTGAATGCTGCAGGTGTTGTGTCTAAGTCAGAATCAGCAGATTTTTTTTTTTTTTTCAGATTTCAGTGCTCCTATGATTATTCCAATGCTCCTCATGCTTTTCCTGAAACATATTTGTTGGGTAGCAGCAATACTCATCATAAAATTTTTAACTGTTGATTAACTACATTACATGATACAAGAGTCAGTCGTTATGGAAAAAAAGAAAGAGAAAAAGAGAGAATTGTATCACACTTCAGGCCATCGTCTTTAGCCAGTAATGCTGAAATATGCTGAAAAGGTATGTTATTCTTACAGAGGCTTCTGAAGATAAGAAGAAGGGCAGACCTTTGGCAGACCGAGATGAAGTCATTAACCTTAAGCCTAACACGTATTGGCTCACAAGGATTGTATATCTTAGAGGCATTGCCTTCATATACTGTAAGTTGGTCAATAAGTTTTATTGGATTTTTGATAATGAGATAGTCATTATTGCTAGTAATGTCTGTATATTTTTAGTTATGTATTGACATTTTCAACTGCTATGTTTTATTCTTCATTGTTTGGAAGAAACACTTGGAAAATTACGTGCTGCCGACATAGATATCTGAAATCTAATCTTTGGATACTGAATTTCTGTTTTTTTAATATGTTTTATTTGTTTATTATTTTAGGAGTAAGCAAAACTATAGTCTGACAGTGTGCATGAAAAACGGAAATTAACTTAATTACCTTTCTAGTTGTGGCTTTCCTTGTGGCCTACAATCAAAACAAACAGCTTGTAGGTGATACTGGACTGCTTCCTTTGAAACTGCATATGGAAGCCATCAGTAAACAGTAAGTTTCAGAATTAAAAGGTGCTTTAATATTTAATATCCATTTTCATAAAACTGCAACTTTGGGGAATACACTTAATGAACTAGTGTCTCTATTTCTCTTATACTAACAATGTTTCTAAAACTTTTGTAAATGAAAAAATAGAAATTCATGTTTGTTTTCAAGTGTGAACTTTTCATATACAATGTATATATACACACATATACATATGTAATATATTAAATGAATGTGTTGTCTTATTTTGGAATAAACTTTTATTTCAGGGTTGGCAGTGACTGGTGGAAAAGAATTCAAGCTGCTCCTACGCTGTTATGGTTAGCTGAACCTTGGCATGATGTGAGGAACATCTAACTTATATAAGCATGTTCTTGATAATCATATTTTTTCTATGGGATTAATTGTAATATCTTACACACATATTCTTAGAACACAGAATTTGCATGCTGTTAGATACCATCAACTAGTATGTAGGATAGATGAATGTGGAAAATACCAAAATAAAAAAGAATAAGTTAATGAATTTAAATAGCTTGATTTTATCCTCATAATAAAAGCTAACATAAAAGAGTTTGAATTAAACAGCATAAAAGAGCTTATCTGTTTTATCTAAGGTTAATCACTGGCTGGATGGAATAGCAATGGGAGGGTTGGTCTTCTCTTTTATCATCATCCTCACTGGAGCTGCCAATGTCATCATTTTGCTCATTTTGTGGGTCCTTTACCACTCTCTTGTTGCTGTTGGTGAGTAACTTCTTTTATATAGTGGATACAATGGAAATTAGAGTAGATAAGATAATTTATTCTTGTATAGGTAGGTTAGCTGTCATTTTCTGTAGTGTACATGTAGTGTAATATGTATTTGAAAAGGAGACAGTATAGTATAGCTTGTTATAGTTCTATTTAAATGTACAGATTGTTATACCTTGTAGACTTTCCACAGGTCAGAGATGGTATGGCTTTGGTTGGGAGTCGCAGTTATTAGAAACTGGGTTGCTTGGAGTATGGGGAGTCCCACTGCTGTCTCTTGCTGCTTTGCCTCAGAAAACCCCAACACCTTGGGTACTTGTGTGGGGCCTAAGGTGGCTGATTTTTAGGATTATGCTCGGAGCAGGATTGATCAAGATCCGTGGCGACAGATGCTGGCATGACCTTACCTGTATGAACTACCATTATGAGGTGAGTTTATGAATAACTGTGATTTGTTGTGGTTCTTGTCACTCCTTTTATGTATAGTAAATGGAAATTGTATTTATGTGGCTAGGGCCTCAACAGTTAAAATTCCATTGAATGCAGTCAACACAAGTAATTCAAGACTGATTAGAGAAATTTTTGGTGTGTAAAGTGCAAAAATTCAAAATTCAGCTGATGTTTAAGTACCAGTAGTAGAGTATGTCCACTTCATATAACCAAAATGTTACACCATATTCCTTGCATCTTATGCTTAACATAAATGCTGGTATAACAAAGAAAAGTGTAAGAACCAGAAAGGTTCTCTCTCTCTCTCTCTCTCTCTCTCTCTCTCTCTCTCTCTCTCTCTCTCTCTCTCTCTCTCTCTCTCTCTCTCTCTCTCTCTCTCTATATATATATATATATATATATATAATTATATGTATATATTATTGTATAAGCTACATATACATTTTGAAATAAATTGCTAGCAGTACTATATATAGTATATATTCATATCTAAAAGTAGGCATAGTTTGTCCATATGTTTCTTGTAAGAAAAATTATTTTATGTAACTGATAAGAGTTATCCCAGTCTTAATATTCTAATCCACAGACGCAACCAGTTCCCAACCCAATGTCATACTACATGCATCAATCACCTGAATGGTGGCACATGACGGAAACATTTGGCAACCATATCATTGAACTGGTTCTTCCGTTTTTCACGTTTCTTCCCCGAGGTTTTAGGATGGCTTGCGGCTTCGGCCAGATAATGTTTCAGGTGTGTGATTTACTGACTACGGGAAATGGTCTTGTTTTGTATAGTTTTTGTTTATTTAATAGATTTAGGATTTTTTATTTTTTACAGCTGAAAGGATATTTACACCAGGATTAATTTCCCTTCCTGTCAGGTATCATTATTATTTTTACAAAGAATTTAGACCTAGTGTTGTGTATGAACCAAACAAAGTGATATCTTTACTTTCTTAAATGATGGGTGAATAAACACTCAATCTAAATTTTATTCATGATAGAAAAAAATGAAAAAAATTAAAAGATAATAGAGCCATAGGTCTTTTATGATTTAATATTTAACAAGATTATGTACTACCAAAAAAAAAATGTTGTCACAGATTTAGTATGCATGCTTGAAAATAACAAGAAGACTGTTTATAGAAAAACATCTCAATTTTTCAGGTCGTTCTCATCATATCAGGGAATTTGAGTTTCCTTAACTGGCTCACCATCGTACCAAGCCTGGCCTATTTCGATGATCGTTCATACTCTGTCTTCTTCTCCAAATTAACCAGAAGAAGAGTGTTTGATCTTCAGCAGATGCAAGAAGAAGAGTCACCAGTGGTTGATCCAGGTAAAGATGATTTCTCTCTCTCTTTCTTTCTTTCTCTCTGTCTTTCCTTTTTCTCTTTCTCTTAATATATAATACATAATATAATATATAAGTTAATGTATATATAATATATAATATATATTGCCCTTGTCCTTGTCCCTGTTCCTGTCCTCCTCCTCCTCCTCCTCCTCCTCCTCCTCCTCCTCCTCCTCCTCCTCCTCCTCCTCCTCCTCCTCCTCCTCCTCCTGCATTATAGTACAGTAAGTAAGAGATGGCTTAAGGCAGGAAGCCAATGATCCCTGCTTAAATATGAAATATCTTAAGAGATAATTTCCCTTGGTTAAAGGATAAAAATAAGAAGAAAGTTTCCTTTACTCTTATTCCTTTATATAGTATTTAAGAATGATCTTTGATTTCTTTCCATTTGTATGATTATGGACATTTGCCAACCTTTTATTAGTACCAGTTACTCACCAAATGTCTTCATTGTAAGTGAAACCATTTGGGCAAAAGTTTATTTTCCTGTAGTTTGATATTGTTTTATTTTCTTTAAAAATCATTATCATAAAGATGATTATATCAAATATGAGTAAATCCTTGGCGAAGAAATGATGAACTAATCAGTTGTAAAATTCAAAATTTAGATATAAGTAAATCTACATGCAGGAAATTGCTGCATTGTAAAAATTAGATCTTAGATTCTATTTAAAGAGAAACATTGTACTACAAAAGTTAGAGGTATGTCCTTATTCTATACCAAGGAGATTTTCACTTTCTTTCTCTCTCACTGCCAGGCTTACTGAGAAAATCTGTGAACATGGTTGTTGCAATGATGATTGGTTACCTGAGTCTGCCAGTCATCCTTAATCTCGTCTCATCACACCAGGTCATGAACACTTCCTTTGACCCATTCAGGATTGTCAACACCTATGGAGCTTTTGGAAGGTAGGTTTTGATTCATCATCTGTTTCTTCTCCTTCTTCAGCTTCACTTTGAATCTTCTTTTTGTCCTTTACATTCATTTTCTCCTCTTCCTCCTCCTTCTCATTAGGTAGTATTAGATGGTATTAGTATATCTTCTGCTCCTGCTCTACTAGTGCAGCTTCTTCTGTTTTTTCTTCCTCCTTTTCAACGTCTTCTTTTTCATATAGCCAACAAATATTTTTATGTTATCCCATTTTTCATTTTCTAAAGCATCACTAAAAAAGGGGCCACACAAGCAGCCACAGTGCTGAATCACATTCACTGTAGGCCATTTTAATTAGTGCAACATTTGAAATTCTGGACACCTCAGGCAGAGATAGGCTCTTAATACCCAATTCTATTACCCATATTCTATTTAATCTTATTTTATATCTCCCCCACCGATGTATTTGCTATTGTTTCTACTTATTCTGTATTATAGTACGATGCCACAATCTATGTAAAAAGAAGAACCATTGTAATTAATGGAATAAAGTGTTTTGACTTTGACTTTGACTTGACTTATTATAATTTCAGCATCACCAAGGAGAGGACAGAGGTCGTGTTCGAGGGCACGCATGCCTGGGATCCTGACGCAGCTGATGCAGTGTGGGAGGAATACGAGTTCAAGTGCAAGCCCGGACGGACAGATGCAACGCCTTGCCTCATCTCACCCTATCATTACCGCCTCGATTGGTTGATGTGGTTTGCTGCATTCCAGGTTGATATTTATTGAGTGATTTTTTACTTAATTCATAAACTTTATTTTTATTATAGATAGATAGATAGATAGTTAGATAGATAAAACAGTAGCTCAAAGATCTACAGCATAGATGATTGAGAGATGGAAGATTCAGATGGATTGAGCATCAGAAATACAGCTAAATAAAAAAAAAGAAAAAAAAAAGAAGAAAGTAGTTTATTAGCATACCATACTCCCAAGCTATTTATACGAGATCTGTTAATGTAATTCCCATATTCAGATTCTCAAACAGCCAAGTGGTTTCATGCTAAAATGTTTATTTATATTATGCAGCACACATTACTGTACAAAATCCCCATTAATTTCTCTTCTCTTACAGTCATATGAACATAATCCCTGGATCATTCATTTAGCTGGCAAATTTCTAATGAATGATGCAGAAGCTTCAACGTTAATTTCACATAACCCGTTCCTTGGCAAAGACCCTCCGAGGTAAGTAGACTGTATTTCCTTTTAATGCTCATAATGTACGTGAAATTTGGTACTGATTATATGTGATTTTCTTCTGAAGCATTATTTTCTAACGCCGCGCGCACGCACGCACGCGCACACACACACACACACACACACACACACACACACACACACACACACACACACACACACACACACACACACACACACACACACACACACACACACACACACACACACACACACACACACACACACTAAGAAATACATATGTTTAAATATATATATATATATATTTATATATTTATATCTTTTTATTTCCCAGATTTGTACGGGCACTTCACTATAGATACCGGTACTCAAGCCTTTGGGATGTAGATAGACGACACTGGTACAAACGTTCCATAAAGGGCATTTATCTCCCTCCTGTGGACATACGTATGCTCAAACCACTCTTCAGGCGAATGCAGTGGAGATCTCTTGGTTGATGAGAAATAGTTACTATAATTCCTTTTTTCTTTGTTAAGTTTGTTGATCTTGAATATAGAAATGTTGTTGATATTCACAGTATTTTCTTTACAAAGGATATATATATATATATATATGTATATAATTTTTTTTCTTTTTTTCTTTTTTTTTGGTATATGATGCATATCAGATTTACACTTTAGTTTTATTGGTACAAATTTGTTGGTTTTACTTGCACATATTTATATTATTACTTTATACAAGTGTTTACATTAACCTGTAAAAGGTCATCCACGTGTGAGTGTGAGTGTGAGTGTGAGTGTGAGTGTGAGTGTGAGTGTGAGTGTGAGTGTGAGTGTGAGTGTGAGTGTGAGTGTGTGAGTGTGAGTGTGTGTGTGTGTGTGTGTGTGTGTGTGTGTGTGTGTGTGTGTGTGTGTGTGTGTGTGTGTGTGTGTGTGTGTGTGTGTGTGTACATGAATTGATGTGTTTTCGATATCAAGTCAGAAGTAGATCAGATAATATCTGCAGTAATTATGTTGTAATTATGTCGGGTAATTAAAACACTGTTGCCAAGATAAAAGAAAGATGGACCAAATATGTCTCTGAAAAATCTGATTTAGAGCGGTGAATCATATATTCAGAAAATGATATGAAATTTGGAATGATTTTGAACTCCCTTTGGAAACCTGCAGATAAGATCAGTTGGGATTCTAAATAACAGTCTGAGGCACCTCAGCTGAGTACATTTTTTCAAAAAGTAGTGGCCTCTTTCCATGCCTCATTTTTGGTGTGAACAGTATGTAATGAGTAAGAACCAGCAAATCTGATACTGTCTGGCCTTTTTCCTCTGGTTTCAAGGCCACAGAGAGGTAACCCCCTTTGCGTTCCACCTCCTCCTCCCCTTACCCCTCAGTCAACCTGCTGTTTCCTCTCCAGACCATTAAAGGCTACTTATTAAACACACAATCCCACTCCCTCACCTTCCCCAAAGAATTCTCTCACTTCCCCTCTTGCAATGATCTCCAGGCAGTGTAGAAGGTACTTATCATATTACTTTGTGTTTCTTATTACTGTGTTACACATATAAATACATGCTTCACTGAGTTATGAAATAAGATGTGGGTTTTTATTACTTTATATGTGTTTTATATACATTTTTTATATACATTACATGAATATGCTCATTTTTATAATTATACAAAGAGTACCTTTTTCAAATCTTTTTAATGTTTGGAGTTAAATGGGGTTAGAGCTGAATTATTGCAGGCATTGGAGTACAAGACTTTTGGTATTTTTTGAAGTCACTGTAAGGTGTTTGTTCAAAAAGAGAGAGAGAAAAAAATCTGACCAGAGGAGGTACTATTGGTTTAGTTTAATGTGACCTTTTATGGGTTAAGAAATCATCATAACTTTGACCTTGTTGACTTGGTGAATGTGTGAGTAGCATAGTTACATGTCAAGTTTTACTGGTGGATGATGTAATGAGCTGTTTTCAGTTTTAAAACAGGTATGTCAAACTCATTTGCTCTGGCAACCCAGTTATAGTAAAACGTTAACATGATTAAGCCAGATAACATATATAGTGTAAGAGATAAAAAAAAAAACTTTATAAATTGTTTTAAATTAAATAAAGAATTTTAAAGGGAGTAGACAAAAAGGCCACTTGATTAATGAAAAACTTAGACTATGTTGGGCTACATGTTTGACACCCCTGCTTTAAAGCAGTGTTCATGAATATTATGTTTTACAGGATAAAGGAGAAAAGATTTGCAAAGGTTGTTTACTGAGGTCTTATGCTGTGGTTACACTATTCATAAAAAATGATGGGATTTATAGCTTCCTGTAGGCAATATGCTGTCCGTCCACTGGTTTAGGATAAAACAATCATCCTGCAGATTATATAGTTTCTGCAGATAGCCAGTATGAAACCATTTTGATGGACTCAACCTCTTATGCTCATTTTTGTCACTGAGTAACAATGAAGTACTTCAATCGATTTTTTATGAATAGTGTAACACATGCCATTACTGTTTTTTTGATATCCAATACAAGTGTTCTTGGTGCAAGCACAAAAATTCCATTTTTCTATCACTTAAGGTTCAAATTTTGTGCCTTGGTGCCTGTTGACATTGAGCTTAATATATCTGTGTAAACTTTAGTTGAATTGAATTTATGTTACCGTCTTTTTAGTCTAGGTTGTGATATTTTCCAGACTTTTGATGTTGGTAATATATCTTCAGCTTTTGTAAAGAAAACATTGTGATTGTACTTCATCTTGTTTATTTTAATCTTTGAAGTACGATTTTGAGATTACGGATATCATGAAGGTGAACCCATTCACTTTGTAAGAAATAGTGTAGGTTAAATATATCAACATCTATGACGACTCTCCCTAGCTATTTGCCACTGACACTAATAATAAAGATTATCAACTGTAAGGTAGTGTAGTTATGAATTTTGTGAAATCTTAAATGAAATATAGAAAAAATAATTGATATCTTGTCAGTTTAGCAGGGATAAATGTACCTGTATTCCAAACCCTCCATCTTTGGAATATGATAGATAGTGAAACTGACACAGAAATCATTTAATTAAAGCCAGTAGCATTATAATGTTCTTGAACATTGTCTGGTCAGTCTCCTCTACCTCAAAAATAAAAAAAAATTCAAAACAATCAGCTTCAGGTTGAGCTCAGATAGTAAAATCCTGTCTTGTTACATAAATAACTATGCAAGATCTCCATTTCCCAAACAAAGTATCCAGAGATTGGTCTTGGCAGTCGTTTGATACTACCAGGTCTTTCTTTTCCTTTACCTTCTCACTCAAGGTTGTAGATCTGTAAATACTTAACATAGATAGATGGTGATGTTGGTCACTGTATCATGCATGTAACTGAATTTGACAATAGCTACCTTCGACATTTTTTTGTGTCTGAATTTGAGATAACCTTTTGTTCGAAATCTAGTGACAAATGTGTGACACAAGTTTTTGTGATGGTAAACTTGTAGCTATATCATATATCTTATAAGATTTATTTTTTTAATTTCCTTCACTTTGATTCACCATTCAGCAAGATTAATATTGCATGTAATGGGATAAAAGTATCCTACACTTATGTTTTTGTGTGGACTGAAATGTCATTAGTTGATGTAGTAAGTTAACAGTTCACCAATTCAGAAATCATGACTTTCCTACTTATAAGCAAATTAAGTGTATGTACTTCACTTAATCATATATTAGAGTCAGTTCTTATACTTGAAAAAAATGTAGATAAAAAGCCCCAGAGAGAAGAAACAGTTTTTCTAATGAAGTATAATTTTGAAATTAATAATTTGCTGTTAAGCAAAGCAATGTCCATTATAATGTAATGTCCTTATCAGTATAATTAATTCTTGTTTATATTTTTTTTTCAATGAAGGTGATGTACTTTGGTTTTATGAGCAATAAAAATTAGCCTCCATTTATTATTATTATTTTCCTCAGTATATGTACAATTATGTCTTATGATGATGCATAGTAATTATTTATCTTATGAATTGGGTTTGGCTCAAAGTATTTGACTTGGTACCTATTGACAATGAACTTAATATATATATGAGTAAAGTTCAATTGAATTGAATTCATTATAGTATTTCATTTCGTTTATTTTAATCTCTGAAGTATGATACTTGTGATTATAGATATGAATGTGGAACCATTCACTTTATTTGTAAAATTTGGCTTCTATGACACACTGCCTAATCATTTGAAAATAAAGTTCTTTCCACCTAATTGGTAATTTTTTATAAATGTGTTTTTTTACAGGATATATTCAACTATTTATAATCAAGTATAAGCAGCAGTGAGACTAGCTTATATACATAGAGAAACCAAAGTACATGCAACGTGCATGTAAACATCCTCTGTCAAGGGTGCAGGCACCATGACGGACTATGAGCAATGTCGCGCACATCAACGGAGAGGCTGGAGGAAAATCTGGCCCAGAAGAACCTCATCTCACTCACGAGACCAATGGATCGGCTCTGACAATATTGACGCCATCGGGAAGAAAGTAAATCGTTCTCGTAAGCTTGGTTCTCCCTAAAAAAAAAAAACTATCATTACTTGAAAAAACGGCTTCCGAAGAGTATTCCAGACGGCAAATATTATGGCAGATTAAGGGTTTGGGAGGAATCACTGTCTGGGAATTCACTAAGGAAGACTTCCAGGGCACATGCGACAGTGGTAACAATCCACTCCTGCCATTCCTAACTAAGGCGCCAGCAGTTCCCAGATAGCCTTCGGGCTAGTACAGTGGTAACGTGTCGGCCTCTCATCCGAGGGGTCGGCGGTTCGCGCCCCGTCCAGGCGCGAGAAGTTGCAATTGTCGCCTGGAGGTTACTGCTGTGGCCGGCACCACGGTGGGTAAGGACTAAGCTCACCCGAGTCAGCACCTGCTGACACACTGATAGCGAGTCGACATACGTCGGCACAGGCCGGGCTCCCCCATAGCCCGGGCGAGGTCCACAGCTTCGCATATCGGACTTATCCTTACTTAGTTCCCAGACCTGGACTCGTCGCCCGGTCACCTTCCAAAAGCTCAGCCGAAATGGATACTTAATAATCTGATGATGGGAGAAGAGTTTTTATCAGAATGATGTAACAAATTTCGAGAACAAATATATACAGAGACTAGTACTTTCCCTCCAGTTCAGCCCACGATTCTCCACCATGTGCTACCAAGTCCCTCCCGCTCTAGCAAGACACGAACAAAGCCAAATGCAGAAACACCGGATCGACCACTGATCCGAGCGGCTGCTCCTTCTTTTGTCGCTATTTCGGAGACTCAAACTTTCGGCACAAATGTCCCAGCGGACTCCACTGGTGGCAGAGGGCTGGCCTGTAATTGGCCTCCTCAAGAGTAGAACAGCCTCTTTTAATTCACAAGAAAAGACTTGGCGCTCCAAGTAGCAGCTTGAGGAAATCTAGTGAGGAGGCAGACAAGGTGGCTCAAGACGCCATGCACACACACACACACACACACACACACACACACACACACACACACACACACACACACACACACACACATACAGGCATGTGTGCGTATGTGTATAGCTTTTTAGCACAATCAAAAATATTTAGAGTAAAATGTTACTATTCATATTTCTGCTTCTACTGTAATTACAACAAGTACAACTAATAAAAAAAATATATAATAACAACTGTAATAATGATAATTATAATAATTACAACAACTGATAATGATAATGCAATAACAATAATGATAATGCAATAACAATAATGATAATGTTTAGAATATCATTAATGGTGATGATAGTAATAATAATAACAATAATAATATCAATGGTAAAAATAATAATCATTAATAATCATTATACTAAAATTCACCAACATCGACACTGTACAGAAAGTGCATATTCACTGTAGCAATGCGCGTTGTCTGGCAATGGAGGAATTAGATTCATACAATATTATTATCCTGTACTTAACAGAAGTAATGGATGTTAAACACATGAAATTGAGGGTATTTGACTCCATTCTGCACGAATATAATCCTCATGTTTTTACTTATGGACTAGATTTTAGAGATAAAAAAAATGTTTAATATGTTTTGACAATGCCACGATACCACCAATTTATAACATCAGTTAATTTCTCCGGTTTATATTGGCACACAAAATGATATTTAAACCACATAGTTCCCTAAAACACTGACTTTAAATTGTACGGTACAATTTATAAAGAAGCAATAAATTCCAATATAAATTTACTCACGATGGTCAGTTATTTGCGCTTAGCATTTACGACCAAGTCTCATGTAAGTTTTCAAAGCGATTAACACATTTTCACTAATGTTATCGACCGAGAAAACAAAAGCAATGTTTGACATACACTCATTTTCTGAGATTCCGAAATAAATTTCATTTATAAGTATATCTACTTTGGGGAGGCAAATATATAACGGCATTCCTCTACATTAGTATGATCACCTTTAAATTTCATATTTTTTTCGTATCAAATGAGAAACAGCCAGTTGGAATTTATTGGACAATACACCAGTGTTACGATTATAGCAGTGTCTCGCTTTATACAACTTAACAAGATTCCAACTCTACCCATCTATCACTGCCATTAATACAATGGGACTAATGTGTCATGATTTTTTAAGAATCAGTGTTAATGTGGAATTTTTATAGTTAGCGGCAAATGAAAGCCGCGAACGCGAGGCAAGTGACCAGTGACAGAGTGACGAGGGAGAAAGCCAGGCATAACACTCTCGCTCGTCTCGTTGCTTCGAGTCAGCCAAGTCATCCTTCTCTACGTTAAATGTTTTGATTCCGTGCAATATTTTGTCTTTCATATATTGATAGAGCAGTGATTAGCAGAACAGTCTTAATGAAATTCGTTGTTCATATAGTATTTAACAATAATGATAATAATAGTAATAATAATAATGGTAGTAATAGAGTTAACAATGATATAGTGATGGGAATAATGACAACACAAGTGCCACGTTCATTTATTTGCATTCATTCCTTTACTTTTCTCGTAATCATCATATCCTATTACCACGAATTACAAAATGAGGTATACAGCGACGGCTTTCTAAAATGTCTATAAACATATTCGTTTCTGTTCATATCCACGATCATGATCAGAACGGAACTTTAAAAAGGCATCTGTTTAACTATATCTCGCCTGTAAATGGGAGTACCGTTATGTCCATTTAGAAGGCAAATTACATTGGATATCTAGGGATACAAGTCCTTTTCTTTATCATAAAAATCTACAAATCTGAGTCCTTTTTGGAGTAACATAATATCTTCTTAGTAAAATAGATATACGTTGAATTTCTTCCTCATTAGCCCTGACAGTTACACCTAACTCTAGATATTCATTCGGTCACTGACCGCTGAACAGCCATCTTAACATATATATTACAAGCAGTGTGCCCTTGTTCCATTGCCTGATAAGACGTAAATCTAATCCAGCCTGTAGTTGTCATCTACAATCCATTGGCAAATAGATCAATACAATTTTGGTCTGCAGACGTTGACGACGTCACCAAAATGGGCGGCCGCTCACTCCAAGAGGCTCTGGGAGATCCTGATGTGTTCAGGGAACTACAAGAACATCCCGAGACGTTCAGGTAAGAATTATCATGTTAGTCCGACATCAGTGGATAGCTTAAAACAGACACATATTTCAGGTAATGTCTCAAACGGCATTTGGGTTACTGGTTTTATACTAAGATGGTACAATAGAACACAATCCACGTTATTTCTAGATCAGAATACTGGATTTTGTACGCTGAGAAATATTCTTCTGAATACTGTTCATTGCGACAAATGTAGAAAAGGTATGAATGAGAATGGATATATTCATTCGATTATATCCTTGTCAGAAACATTCGTAATTCTGCCGAAGATATAATCGAAACCGGTCACATATATCTCTTGCACTGTGAAGATACTCATTCTCATTCATACCTTTTCCAAATATTTTTCTTTCATATGTAAAAAGAGTCGCCATGTTATGATTTTGCTTCGTTATGCTGCTAAAGAGGAATATTTCCACATTTAATACTGGATAAATATAATTGTTCAGGTCGCCAACAATTCTATATTTGAACGTTGTATTGTTCATAGGGTCTTTTAGAAATTTAGTGACTCTTTCTTGCTTGGGTCAAAGTACTGCAGTCCTTTCATGACTCGTTTATAAATCAGTAAATGAAATGACAGTTAGTTCTGTGTGCATATACAGTATGTTACTGAAATATAGGGCCCTTAAAATCAAGATGTACCCATGTACCCATCCACCACTGATATCAGAAACCCACATTTCTCAAAATATGCTACTACTACTATCTCAATATATTCAAATGTCTTTTACATGTGTACATACCTATTTATATGTAAGTGTGTAAGTGTGTGTGTGTGTGGGGGGGGGTGTCTATATGTGTGTATCTGTGCTTTAATATTTGTACATATTTTTTCACACTAGATTTCGTGAAGAAGTGTCCCTCGAGATCGCTGTAGAGGACGGCCCTTACTCCACCCTGGTTGAGGACACGACCTCCCCCAGCGGAATCTCCGTCCGAGGGCCCATGGCGCCTGTCCTGGACATCCTTACACAGTCTCTCAACTTCACGTAAGACCATAAGGATATTTGCGGATAAGATCTATGGTACCATGGGCGGCCACTAGACCTCATGGGGCGCTCGATCGTTGTTGCCATTTTTTTACAAGCTTTAAGACTCATCTTTACTATAACGATCATGTTAAGGCTACAAGTGTCAAGTGTGTTGTTATCATAAGAGGAGGAATGTGCACTCGCATGACGGAAGAAGCGAATAACTGCTGACTGACTCGACCCGTCCGATGCTCGTCTTGCTCAAGGGACACAGAAGAGTTAATGTGCTTACATACATGCATATATATATATATATATATATATATATATATATATATATATATATATATATATATATATATATATATATATATATATATATATATATATATATATATATATATATATATATATAATTTATGTATGTGTGTATGTATATAAATGTTTGTGTGTTTATGTATCTATATACATGTATATATATGTATATACATTTACATAGACATATACACATACATGCACCTTGGATACAGTCTGATATTCGTCACCCTCTGAGGGAAGAG